GATACTTTACAGAGAGGAAGGGAGAGATGGAGAGTGAGAAACATCGATCAGCTGCCTCCTGCACACCCCCCACTGGGGATGTACCCACAACAAGAGTAAGTGCAGCTGACGCTCTATCCACTGAGCCAAACCAGTTTCGCTAGATAGGAGGTTCTTATTCATTTGGCCTGTCTTCTAACATTTACTAAGACCTTAATGTGGCAAGCATTATACTCAGTGCTTACATACATTAGTTCTACCTTTCTAACTCTCTAAGAGTTCCTTTGTTGAGATGAGGAAATAGAAGTTCAAGATTGTTACATAACTCGCATGAGCTGGGATTTTAACCCTGACTTGCCTACTTCCAAAATCCACATGCTTGCCTTTACACTATTGTATTAGGCACTTGGAGACTGGGTCTCTTCTCTCCATGACATTATCTGGTGAGGAAATTAGGTATGCAACCACCACAAATACTGGGTTGAGAGCTACGACAATCTATTTTTTTAAAATATATTTTATTGATTCTTTACATAGAGGAAGGGAGATACAGAGTAGAGAGTTAGAAACATCGATGAGAGAGAGTCATCGACCAGCTGCCTCTTGCACGCCCCCTACCGGGGATGTGCCAACAACCAAGGTACATGCCCTGGACCGGAATCGAACCCGGGACCCTTCAGTCCGCAGGCCCACACTCTTTCTTCTGAGCCAAACTGGTTTCGGCTACGACAATCTAATGAATGTCAAATGTGGAAATAAAAAGGATCAAGTCATTCCACAGGATTGCTGCATAAGGCTCATCAGAGGAAGTAATATTTAAAGCGGTTACCATGCCCCTAACGTGGGAATGGGAAGAGGATAAAAATCATTCTAAAGAGAAGGAACTGAATGCACAAAGACACAGAGCTTGGAATTTTGTAAACTGGGAAAGGCAAGAAGCTTAATTCAGACAAAATTCACGTGAGGGAGGATGCTAAGAGATGAGACTAGAGGCTGTTTGGTTTGTCAAGGGCCATGAGTCCCAGGCTATAACAGATGCTACCCACATCACCTCGGCCACACTACTCCCATGAACATCAGTGGCCTCACACTGTAATACTCTTGCTTCTCTGCCGAGAGCTTTGTTTGGCCTCAGGGACACCCCATACACATAGGCCAGTGGTCGGCAAACTGCGGCTCTCGAGCCACATGCAGCTCTTTGACCCCTCTAGTGTGGCTCTTCCACAAAATACCACATGCGGGCGCACACCTACAGTGCGAATGAAACTTCGTGGCCCGTGTGAAGAAGTCAGTTTTTGGCTCTCAAAAGAAATTTCAATCGATGTACTGTTGCTATTATATTTTGCTCTGTTGACTAATGAGTTTGCCGACCACTGACATAGGCTGAGGCCCAAGTGTTGCCTGGGAGCAAGCCTCAACCAATGCGGAACAGAAATCGGTGAGTCAATAGCACAGCTTTCTTGCTCCTTGAGAGGAACATAATGTATGTTCTGCATACTACCTCCAGAATCCCCCAATTATTCACAACAGCAAACTGCTCATTTATGTAAACTGTATTCAATTCCTTCACTTCCATTTCTCCACCACTCCCTGGGATCGCAGGAGAAGAATTTCGGCAGTGAAAATTCTCTAGAATCGATTAAAGTCCAGGTTCACAACTGATAATTGTGTAACTTCCTAAGTCTCCTCAAAGATCCTCTGAAACCGGGCTGGCTTAGCTCATAGTTGAGCTTCGACCTAGGAACCAGGAAGTCATGGCTGGATTCCAGGTCTGGACACAGGACTGGGTTGTGGATTCGATCCCGAGTGTGGGGTATGCAGGAGGCACCGATCAATGATGCTCACCACTGATGCTTCTCTCTCTCCTCTCCTCTCTCCCTCTCTCTCTCTCTCCCCGCCCTTCCTCCGAAATCAATAAAAAACATATTATTAAATAAGAAAGCCAAGTAACAGTCTTCCTACGTTTTTGTTCAACTCTGCCATCATGGCAGCTTTCATGACATCTTTCTGGGTTCCAAAGTGCTGGGATGAATTTCAAGAGCCTGCGAGCGGACAGGCAGGTCACCCGAGCTGGCGGGCAGCCCCCCAGCCCGCCCGTCCTCTCCAGCCGCTCCCGCCCCGGAGTCTCCAAGGAGCAGAGGCCAGAGTTCCGGGTCCCCCGCGGGATCCCGCACACCGGGCGCCGCCGGGGAAGCGGAGGAGGGAGGACCCTCAGGAAAGGGAACCGGGGGAGGGCTGCGGGTGCCGGGGAATTACCTCCAACATGCCTTTCCGACTGGCCCCCGCCGTGTCGATGAGCGTGTTGTCCAGGTCAAAGAAAACGGCGCGCACGCTGAGCCCCATCCGGACCGCTGCTGCCCGACTCCACAGTGCTCCAACGCTCGCCTCGGCGGCGCATGCGCAAGGCAGGTCGCTAGGCAACGAGCCCCTGGGCGGAGCTTTAGGAGTCACCTGACCCTGCCGGGCCCCGCCCCCTTCCCGACGCCAGCGAGAGGCGTGAGAAGCGCGAGATCCGGTGGCACCCGGGACCGAGGTGTCCAGGCTGCGCCGCAGGGCGTCACCCCGGGAGTGGTTCCCGGATTAGCGTGCGCTTTCCTCCTTCGCACCTGCTTTGTGCTAATCTCTTTTTCCCTTTTGCTGTCCAGGGGCGGGGTCGCGGAGGGGTTGTTGGTGGTGGGATTGTGACGTCTGGAGCTTTGGAAGGGGAGACTGAGAAGCTGGCCTTTCCGGGGAGGCATGTAGGCGGTGTATGTATTGTACGCATAGCTGCTGGGACTGAAATGTCTGTAGGCCTTTGCCTTAAGTTAGGACGGCACCTTTGTGTCGTAAGGTGACCAGACCTCCCGCTTTTGGCGGGAAAGTACCGATTTTTAACAATTTGACCCACATCCCGCGGCGTTTTAAAAAAATCCCCATTTCCCCCCCCAAATCGGGACTTTTTAAAAACGCCGCGGGATGTGGGACAAATTGTTAAAAATCGGGACGTTTGGTCACCTTAGTCTAGTATACTGAGTCTGCGATGTAGCCGCTGTGGGTCACCGTTAGTAACGGAGCATAAGAAATGTCCAAACCTGCCCTAGCTTGGATGGAGCATCTGCCTTTCCGCTGAAGGGCCCATTGGGTTATGGTCAAGGTCACATGTCCGGGTGCAGGCTGGATCCTCAGTAGGGGGCGTGCAGGAGGCAGCCAATCAATGCTTCTCGCCATTGATGTTTCTCTCTCTTCCTTTCCTTCTCCCTTCCTCTCTGCAGTAAATAAAAACACATTTTTTTAAAAAGCCAAGCCGAAACCTGTTTGGCTCAGTGAATAGAGCGTCGGCCTGCGGACTGAAAGGTCCCGGGTTCGATTCCCGTCAAGGACACGTACCTTGGTTGCGGGCACATCCCCAGTGGGGGTGCCCAAGAGGCAGCTGGTCGTTGTTTCTCTGTCATCGACGTTTCTAACTATCCCTCTCAATCCCTCTCTGTGTAAAATCAATAAAATATATTTTAAAAAATAAAATAAAAAAATGTCCGAACCTGTAGAGAACTTATATGAGTTTATCTGAGCCAAATTGATCATTGTGGGGAAGCAAAATCTCCATGGATTAAGAAAATGCTCTGGAGCCGAAACCGGTTTGGCTCAATGGATAGAGCGTCGGCTTGGGGACTAAAGGGTCCCGGGTTCAATTCCGGTCAAGGGCATGTACCTTGGTTGCAGGCATATCCCCAGTAGGGGGTGTGCAAGAGGCAGCTGATCGATGACTCTCTCTCATCGATGTTTCTAACTATCTCTCTCCCTTCCTCTCTGTACAAAATCAATAAAATATATTTTAAAAAAAAAAGAAAAAAAAAAGAAAATGCTCTGGAGAATGGCAGTTGAACAGCTTACTTTATACATTAGAATAAAAGGGGGAGAAGTAAGAATGCTTACATGAAATCCATTGGTGGTAGAGCAAGGGGGTAAGAGAAGGCAAAGCGGGGAAATCTCTGGGATTGGACTGAAAAAAAAAACTGGAGAGACACATACTACTTTTACATTGATGGGTGCCGTTAGGGTCGCCAAGGAGGAATGCCCAAAGCCAGAAGTGCTAAGGGATTATACATTTATTAGGTCATCTGGATACCAGATGGGCTGAGCCCAAAAATGGCACCAGCACCCAGGGACTGGAAGTCAGAGATTTTAAAGGACCGTAGGCGGAGTTTTTCAGTGGGGAGTTTTGAGGGGGTCCAGATACTGGGCAAGTGTGGAGTGGCACCTTCTGAGCCATGGGACCACCACATGGAACTCCTTGAGGGAGGGACGTTGGTGTAATTATATTTGATTTGGGTTGGCCAGTCACAGACCTAAATGCTAGCTTGTACAGTGGAGAAAAGTTTAATTGCTCGGTGCCAGAATTCCTCTGAAGGAGAGAAGTGTCTTGTTTGAAGAATCTGTTTGATGGGGTAGAAGTGGGACCCCAGAGTTTGCAGGTGTCTGATGTCAGCACTTGGCGGGGAGTTTTTTTTCCGTGAGAAGTGGGGTGATCTGATGTTTTGTTTCCAAAGAAGAGGGTAGAGGGGAAATAAAGGAGAGAGAAACTAGTGCAGGAGATGGGGCCAAGGGAGCCCACATGGCCTCAGGGCCGGGTGCCAAGGCCGTTGGGGAACGGTGAAGCGCCTTTTGGTGTAAGTCTGTTGCAGAGATGACCATGCCCTTTCAGTACTTCCTGTCTGTTCACTGCTGTGTTGTGAGATAAAGTTGTTTTGGGTTTTGGGTTTATTTTTGGAATTTATTTTTGGAATAGGATGGTCCATGTGGGAAGCTGGTACTACTAGAGAAGGGAGGGTGTGAGAACTGGTGTCCCAGGACCTGCAGGCACCGGGGAAAGGCTCTGGATATTCTAATTGTGGAACTGGAGGTGGCTGGTTGGAAGGAAGTGGGACAGCCCATTTTACTAGGAACTTGGGGGACAGAAAAGCACCTGTTGATATCTGCTAATAAAAAAAAATGAACCCAGGTTTCCAGAAGGTCCTGAAAGGGAAAAATAAAATATCTGAGCTTGGATAAAATGGCTGAGCAGCCAGTTTATTTCAAGTTGCTGGTGGCTGATCAGAGCTGGTGGAGTCTGGACAGGGGCTCAGGCCTGGCCACTTGGCCTGATGAACGAGCCCAGGAGCAGGGGCTCTCTGGCGGTGCACAGTATAGCTGCCAAGAGAGCCAGGCCGATTACGATCACAGCCACCAGGGCCACATCCCACCAGACCCATGGATAGGCCCACGGTGTCTGTAGCTGCCAGCCGCAGTTGCCCAGCTCATAGCCCGTGAGATGGCCCAGCGGGTGGAGGGTGGCGAAGCTGGGGCTGGCACAGCGGACATCCAGCAGGGCTTCTGGTGTGTGGTCCTCCAGCCAGAGGTGCAGGTAGGTGAGGCTGCAGTCACAGTGCCAGGGGTTCTGCGTCACGTCGAGTGTCTGCAGCTGGACCAGGTGGTCGAAGGCGCCGGGAGGCACAGAACGAAGGCTGTTATTGGCCAGCAAGAGGTGGCGGGTGTGGGGTGGCAGGGCAGGCAAGGCTGTGAGCCCTCGGCCCCTGCAGTCCACCCACAGCCCCATGGTTTCCAGAGCCTGGCAGGTGCAGGGTGCAGGGCAGTCCTTTGTGGCTTCTGTGGCAGCCCAGAGCAGGAACAGGGCCCCCCAGGCAGGCATGGTGCAGGCTGGCTGCAGGGAGAGTGGCTGTGAGGTGAGGGAGGGACTGGAAGCCTGCACCCCATCCCAAGAACCAGCGGGTACCATAGGAACAGTGGTATCTGACCCATGAAACTAACACTGTGACGGTGGAAGGAGGTGAACTGTGCCAAACTTAGGCCTGGCTGACCCTCACTGAACACTCAGAGGCAAGAGACAGTAGGGGAGGGAGCAGGGGTAACTTTGGAGGAGGACAGGACTTTAGGAGGTGGGGGGAGCAGTCCCTGCTCCAAGGTTTACAGTCCTGGTCCTTGACCCGCAGGGCTGGGAGGCTCCCAGCCTCCCTGCCTAAGCCCGGGGTTAGGCCAAAGGTGTGGCCTTCACAGACCACACCTCATCCCACCAATTCCCAACTGCTTGCCATGATAAAGTGAACTCTTACGTGGTACTCGATGTAGAAACCAGCACAAGGATACTGAGGTGGGGGCAGGAAGGGGACCCAGAAGGAGCTCTCTCTAAAAGCCCCTCATCCAGGCTTGGGGAAACTGAGGCCCAGAGACAGAGGGATTTGTGCAGGGTCACACAGTAGCCTGGGCCAGAAACCAGACTCAAACTCAGGTCTCATGAGCCCAGGTTTTCCGCCTGATTCTCTGCCTGGCCTCCAAAACTGTTTCCCCCCTTTCTAAGGCAAGCTCTTTTCAACCCCCACGGCCTGGCACATGGCAGACTTTCAATGACTATTCGTTGAATAAACCAGTGAATCTTAGCCAAGGAACAAGTGTCTCAGAATGAAGGCCCCCACCCAACCACATCTTCTAGAAGGGAGCGCAGAAGTGGGCATAGAAGTAAGACTTGACAGCCCGCCTCCTCACCACCTGGAGGAGCCGCCGGTGTGGGAGGCAGTGCTGGGTAATAAGGAGGGCTTCTTACCTTCCAGGCCTGCATCCAGTTCCCCTTTCTGTGACCTGAGCTGTGCTGGTTGAGGCTGAGGTGGCAGTTCTGTGTAAATCAACTGATGGTGGCCACTGCTTGAGAGGGAGGAAGGAAGTGATAAAAATAGCCTGGCTTATCCCCTGCATGCATCCCTGAAGGGCCTATCTCCAGAGGCAGGGGGGCCTGGGGTCCTAGAGCCTTGGGCACTGAAGCCTAGGTCACCTTGAGTGTGCAGAAGGAGTCCCATAGTGCATCCCACTGTACCACCAGTGCCCAATGAGCCTCAGTGCAGGGTCTAGGGGAGGACCAAGGAGACCCTATTTCTGGACCCAGGTGGGGGGGGGGGGCTTCTAGGAGGAGGAGACCCTGGGAATGAGTGGCTCTGCTGGTGGTTCCTTTAGATCTCAGTTTTCCTTATCTGGAAAATGGGAGCAATAAACCTTGTCCTATTTGCCTCAGAGATGTGGTTTGGGCAGCAACGATGGGCAGGTCAAGAATTCTATTCAGGAGGGTGATTTAGCTTTAATAAACTGAGTTTATTAAGCAGGTGATTTAGTTTCTACAAACAGAGCTCTTGCCAGAGAGGCCCAGGAGTGGAACCCAGAGTGGGGGCCTGCTGAGAAGAAGGGGTCCTTCTGGCTATCTCCCATGGTCATGGCCAGTGTCAGCCAAAAATGCCAAACTCAAGAAGAGGGCCCTGGGCTCCCAGCCTAACGGCACTTAGGATGGTTTAGGGCTGGAGACTGAGGTGCAGAGCCTCTGTGCTGCCAACTGAGGCCACACTGGAGCCTGAGCAGGGCCAGATGCTACCCCACCTAGGATGGGGGAAACTTGAAAGTTCTACCACTGATATTTGCTTCTAAAGCAGGATGACAACACTAGGAGTTACAGGGCAAGGAAAGTCAAGGGCAAAGGGCTGTGGAGTGCTTTAAACACTCTATTTATATACCAAACCCACAGGAAAATTTCTGACGTTTGCAACGGAGTCTGGTATTTTTAATCTTCTAAGGCAGTGTTTCCCAAAGTGTGGTACGTGTACCCCCAGGGGTACGGGAAGAGTTTGGTGGGGGTACGCGTTGCACCAAAGTTTGGTGGGGATATGCACTGCACTGTGCTTAGCTGCACCTAATACATACTTTTTTTTTTTTTTTTTTTTTTTTTTTTTTTTTTTTTGACGAGGGATACTCAGCGTTACAAAAATTACAGAAGGGGTACACATATGTCAAAAGTTTGGGAAACACTGTAATCTAAGGTGTTCTGCAACTCCTAACGCTCTTCCGTGAATGGAGTTGATATCATTCATTTGTGTTTGTCACATGCTTCTCTCCACCAGAATGTCTGCTCCTTGAGAGATGGAGCCTTATCCTTGCTCTTTGTAGTCAAAGTCATGGTTGACTGGCCCAGTGTCTGCACATTCAGGTCCTGCATTAGTGTGTGGCTGGGTGATTGCACGGGTGGATGAGTGGTTTACGTATACAAGATTTGACCAGCAGGGAGGAATCCAGGTCCCTTTTGAATTCTGACCTCCTTTTTGTGCAGGTATTCAGAGGGGACACCTAGCACAGTGGCAGCTGTCAGCAATCTTCTGCTTCTAGAACACCTGGGAATTTTTAAAAATTTTTATTGAATTTATTGGCGTGACACTGGCCAATAAAATCACAGAGCTTTCAGGTGCAAAACTCTACAACACATCATCCGCGTGCCGCCAAGTCCCGTCTCCCCATGCCCACCATTTATCCCTCTTACCTTCTTCTGTGTGCCTTCCTCTCCCTTCCCTCCGTAATCACCATGCAGTTGTTGTCCGTGTCTGTGAGTGTGTGTTTTTCTTAACTCTGTCACCTTTGTTTAACCCAGAACCTCAAAATCCCTCCCCTCTGATAGCTGTCAGTCTGTTCTCTGGTTTTGGTTTTTTTTGTTCATTGGATTCCATATCTAAGTGAAATCATATGGTACTTGTCTTTGTCTGACTGGCTTATTTTGCTTAGCATAATGCTCTCCAGGTCCATCCATGCTGTCACAAAAAAAAAATGAGATTTTATTCTTTTGTATGGCTAAGTAGTATTTCATTGTGTAAATATGTACCACTGTTTTTTGTCCATTTATTAATGGGCACTTGAGTTGTTTTTATATATCAGGTCTCGTAAGTAATGTTGCAATGAACAGAGAAGTGCATATATTCTCTGGAATTAGTGTTTTGGGTTTCTTCAGATATATTCCCAGAAGAGGAATCTTTGGATCATAAAGCAGTTCTACTTTAAATATTTTTTGCCTCTTTTTAAATGCTTTTTTTTTTGTAAATTGTTTTAATTTTTAGTTTTTTTTAAATTTATTTTAATTGTTGGAAGTATGACAGATGTCCCCCATTTTCCCACTTTGCCTCCAACCACCAGGCTCCTGTCCACCCCAGGCCTTCACCTCACTACTGCCTGTGTCAATGGGCTACGCATATATGCGTATAAATTCTATGGTTAATCTCTTCCTTCCCTCCCACCTCCTTTCCATCTGAGAACTATCAGTCTGTTCCATGCATCCTTATCTAAGGAACTATTTTGTTCATCAGTTCATTTTGCCCATTAGATTCCTCACATAAGTGAGATCATGTGATATTTGTCTTGCTTTTTATAACTTTCTCTGACTAGCTTAATACACTTAGGATAATCCCCTCCAGGTCCTTCCATGCAATCTCAAAGGGCAGTACATCCTTCTTATTTACAGTTCCATAATATTCCACTGCTAAATGTACCACAGCTTTTTTATCTACTCACCTACTGATGGGCACGTGGGCTGTTTCTAGATCTTAGCTTTTATAAATAATGTGGCTATGAACATAGGGGTACATATATCTTTTTTGGTGTTTTGATATTCTTTTTTTTTTTAATATATTTTATTGATTTTTACACAAAGAGGAATTGAGAGGGATAGAGAGTTAGAAACGTCGATGAGAGATATACATCGACCAGCTGCCTCTTGCACCCCCACACACACTGGGGATGTGCCCGCAACTAAGGTACGTGCCCTTGACTGGAATCGAACCCGGGACCCTTCAGTCCGCAGGCTGACGCTCTATCCACTGAGCCAAACCGGTTTCGGCTGTTTTGGTATTCTTTTTTTTTTTTTTTTTTTAAATATATTTTATTGATTTTGTACAGAGAGGAAGGGAGAGAGATAGTTAGAAACATCGATGAGAGAGTCATCGATCAGCTGCCTCTTGCACACCCCCCACTGGGGACATGCCCGCAACCAAGGTACATGCCCCTGACCGGAACCGAACCCGGGACCCTTCAGTCCCCAAGCCGACGCTCTATCCACTGAGCCAAACCAGTCCCGGCTGTTTTGGTATTCTTAATGGCAGTTCCATTTTTAATTTTAAAAAAAAAACTCCATGCTGTTTTTCTTTTTTCTTTTTTTATATTTTATTGATTTTGTACAGAGAGGAAGGGAGAGAGATAGAGAGTTAGAAACATCGATGAGAGAGAGTCATTGATCAGCTGCCTCTTGCACACCCACTACTGGGGATATGCCCGCAACCAAGGTACATGCCCTTGACCGGAATCGAACCCAGGACCCTTCAGTCCCCAAGCCAACGCTCTATCCATTGAGCCAAACCGGTTTCAGCTCCATGCTGTTTTTCTACAGTGACTGCATCGTTCTGCATTCCCACCAACAGTACACTAGGGTTCCCTTTTCTCAACACCCTGACCAGCACTTGTTATTTGCTGATTTATTGATTGTAGTCATTCTGGCAGGGGTGAGGTGATACCTCATTATAGTTTGCTGAACTGATTATATGTTATGCTGCAAACTAAAATGTGAAAATAGCGGAGACCGGTTTGTGAAAATATATTTCACTCTTTCAACAAATACAAAGGTCAACTTGAGTGTGAAATAGTGGTAATTTTTGTAAAATATTATAACATAATAATATTTACTAGGGCAGCATGTAGGAACATTCATTACATAATAAGACTTTCAGCCGAAACCGGTTTGGCTCAGTGGATAGAGCGTCAGCCTGCAGATTGAAAGGTCCCAGGTTCGATTCTGGTCAAGGGCATGTACCTTGGTTGCAGGCACATCCCCAGTAGGGGGGGTGTAGGAGGCAGCTGATACATGTTTCTCATCGATGTTTCTAACTCTTTTCTCTCCCTCCCTCTCTATAAAAAATCAATAAAATATTTATTTGCCGAAGCCGGTTTGGCTCAGTGGTAGAGCGTCGGTCTGCGGACTGAAAGGTCCCAGGTTCGATTCCGGTCAAGGGCATGTACATTGGTTGCGGGTGCATCCCCAGTAGGGGGTGTGCAAGAGGCAGCTGATTGATGATTCTCTCTCATTGACATTTCTAGCTCTCTGTCTCTCTCCCTTTCTCTCTGTTAAAAATCAATAAAATATATTTTAAAAAAATATTTAAAACACACATACACACACAAAAACACTGAAACCTGTAAAGAATTTAAAAAAAAGAAGAGCATTTTAAAAATAAGGGCATAGAAGACATAAATTTAATATATCACCTACAGTTAATATCCTGACTAGTGAAAGACCAAATGATATATATATTTTTTTGTTTTAAAAAAAATACATTTTATTGATTTTTTACAGAGAGGAAGGGAGAGGGATAGAAAGTCAGAAACATCGATGAGAGAGAAACATCGATCAGCGGCCTCTTGCACACCCCTTACCGAGGATGTGCCCACAACCAAGGTACATGCTCTTGACCGGAATCGAACCCGGGACCGTTGAGTCCGCAGGCCGACGCTCTATCCACTGAGCCAAACCGGTTTCGGCTGATATTTGCTTTTACTGTGTGAAGTATTAACCATGTGCATGCATGTTTAAAAAGAAAATTGCATCCATTTTAAAAAAAGGTAAGAAACCACAACCTAACACCCCTTAATTTCAGGTGTCAATACTCTTTGGTATCCCAAAGATATTAAAAAACAGACTTGCTCTTTCCAAACACAGCCAGAAGTGTCCATGGCCTTTGAGTCTTAATAAAAGATAAAATTATCTTCTTTGTGGAACACATCATAGATAATTCATCTTTTCAGAGGGTCAACATTAGACAGATGGGTGTTACCGGGGTTTGGCAAGAAAGAAAAC